GTTTATTTTTTGTCAAGTTGACTTTTCTAATGGAACAATGTGGTGTTGAAGTCACCTACTATAACTGAGTTGGGGTTAATTTGTGTCTTGAAGTACTGTAGCACTATTTTAATGAAACTGAGTGTACCAGAGTTGCTGCATATATGATCATGATTCTAATGTCTTCTTGGCCAATTGATTCCATGATCAGAATGAAGTGATGTTATTTATTTCTTTTGGTTAATTTTAATTTAAATCTGATTTCAGTGTTTTCTCTTTGTTCTGTGCATTTAGTGATTTTACTATGAAATGTCATGAGGTGTTTCTGTTTGGCTTCTGTCTATTTGGTTCGCTCTGCTTCTTGTACCTGTATGGGCATGTCTTTTCTTAATTCTATTATCCTGTTGAAAATCGGGTCAATGGCATTGACCTGTTCTCTTTCCTCTATTATCATGATTTGTCAATTTGGAGTTTTCATGGTGTCCCACATTTCATTCATATCCCATTCCTGTATATATTTTTTGATTTTTCATATTCTTTGCTTGAGTGGTCCAATTCTTCAACATTATCATCTACTCTTGATATTCTGTTTTCCATTTAGTTCATGAGGCTTCTTCTGTCATTTCAAATTGGCTTGTTGAATCTTTTAATTCCATCTTCATTTCAACCTGAGTTTTCGTCAATATTTCTATCTCTTTCATGAGTTCACTTTTCAAATACTGAATTGTCTTTGTCATTTCATTCGTTCATATATTGGTAGTTTTCTTTCTTTCTTTCTTTCTTTCTTTCTTTCTTTCTTTCTTTTTCTTTCTTTCTTTCTTTAGTTTTAGTCAGGAGTTTTTCCCTACCCTCTTTGAAGTTTTGATGTGTTTGTTCTTTAAATTCATTAAGTTCTTCTATCATGCAGCCTTTAAATTCTATGCCCTGGGGTTCCTCTACATAGTTCACATTGTAGAACACTTAGGTAGGATTGGTAGGATTTTGGGAACATATTATTTTGGTTTTTCATTTTAATTATATTTTTTTTGGAGTCAGGCATGCATATTTCCTTTGTTGCTTATGCATGTGAAATTCAAGTCTGCCTTTGTGGAGTCGAAGTTTGATTCTCTGTTTATCACTGATATAGCTTGGTTGCTTTCTAATCAGGTATGTATAATTAGTTGTTATGATCTTCAGGTTCTCTCTTTTGATCTTTTTTTTTTTTTTTTTTAATTGGAGAGACCAGATGGATCCAAGCAGACGAGTCAGGAGCTCTCCAGGAGGGGAAGAAGCCTAGATCCAATGTGATTGGGATCAGCTGTGACCGTTTTATCTAACTAAGCTATGAAAGTGTGAGCCTTGGAGCCATGTGACAGGGTCTGATCTCAAGCTGGGGAATGGTGATCTGGAGGACAGGATGCAGCTATCGCTTCCAGCTAGTCAGATTCTCTCTGGGAACCTCCGTGGGATGGGGCCACAGCTCAAGGGGAGATGACAGAAAAAGAATGGGAAACTATTTTTTGACATTTGAATTTTCCACCACTGTAGTAATAATCTAGCTTAGGTGGTTTTAGCTTCTTTTGCTGATGTCTTTCAAGATTATCTTTGATCACTTAATTTTTCTTGATTTTTCCAGACCAGGGAAAATAAGAACAATGTTTTCATTGTCTAGAAAGTTACACTTAGCTATTTATGATATTTTACTGTCTCGCACTGAGCTTAGTTAGTATAATTATTGGTATACTTCCCTAAGAATTACAAAAAGTCAACAAATTTTAAAAAGACATATTTGAGGAGGAAGCATAAAAATTTACTTCATGTTAAATAGTAGAGGTGATAAACATTACCAGTGAAATCTACC